AGCTACGGGTATTTTATTTTATCATAATTAACCTGTAATATTGATTGAAAACTAAAAAATCATTTTGCATTTCATTTTACTCTCCCTATCCCAAAAAAATTCAATTTGGCTTTCATTAAATTTTAAAAATATATTAAAAAAATAAAAATAGTATAAATAAAAAGAAAAATTATCTCAAATAATATCACCTTTTCGAGCTTTTTAAAACTTAGCTCAAATTTTATCATTGACTAATAAGTTTATTTTTAAAATTTAGCTCAAATTTTACTAACAAATCATAGGAAAATAGAATTAGAATTTTCTAGAAAAATATTTTTTTCCCAAACAAGAAGATCCTAAATATTACAATTAAAAAAAGAGCATTAGAAAAATAGAAGAAAAACTCCTTAATTTTACTAATTTTTGTTTAACCTCGTGCATCATCCGTGTTTATATATATATATATATATATATATATATATATATATATATATATATATATATATATATATAGGGTCTGGTGAGAATGAAATCTTAGGAGAGAAATGAGAATGAATCTGTTGCTTTAGATTGTTAGATCCAAAGGTCAAGATTTCATCAAAATTAGATGCACCAAAATGGTTCGAAAATGCATCACGTCGAAATGCACCGTAAACCTTTGAAAATGCACTATCTCAAAATCTAAGCACAGGATGCAATCTGAGCCGCACGATGCATCAGATCTGACGGCTAGATTTTATTCTCATTTCTCTCCACAAGGTGCATTCTCACAGGAACCGGCCCCTATATATATATATATATATATATATATATATATATATATATATATATATATATATATATATATATATATATATATATATATATATATATATAGACACACACACACATGCACTAATATATTAAAAATATAATGATATTTTTTCATTGACTAATAAGTTTATTTTTAAAATTTAGCTCAAATTTTTATTATGTGTACATTGTACTTTTATTTGAGTTTCAATTTTTGTAGAAGAATTTAAAAATAGTAACACTCATTTGAAATATAACTTTGTTATCATCCGTTCGCTGTAGTTTGTGAGATATAAATTAAGTTTGATAAGCATTTTTGCATTTAATTTTTCATTTTTTGTGTTTTACATTTTTTTGTTTAAATATACTTTCGATTTATAAAGTTTAAATTATGTATGTATGTTTTCATCCCGGTTTATCCTGAAAGTTTGAAATCGATGACGAACTATCTTGAATCGAAATTTTGGTACGACGTAAAATTTGATACTGAACTGAAATATTTTGTACGACATCGGTTGAGGCTAAATATCGTATCATTCTCACCCCTATCTCTTACTCCCTCCGTCCCAAATTATTTGCAACGTTTGCTTTTTCAGCAGTCGCGGGAACTTTTGTTTATTTCTACGTTTTCATTGGTTATTTGATAAAATAAAATATTCTTGATACCTCTTATTTCGAAGAATTTTTCATTTAGTATTTTGATATGTAAATTTTATTTTTTATTTCTATACCAATATGTAAATAAAATGAATGGAAAAATTTGATATTTTACTTCGGGAATACAAGTGTGGCAGATATTTAAGAACGGAGGGAGTATTTTATTATTTTCATAGAGGGAGTTTGTTTAAATTTTAAGTCAATGTTAAAACCTAAAAGCACACCCTATGAAAAACAAGGAAAAGGATAAAATCACCATGAGGGTAAACTTGGTTGGTTTAATTCATCTTCATTTTTTCCCCTATAACTTTGCATTTTGTAGGAGGAATCTCTCTGTTGGTATGCTTGTTTTGTAGGGGAATCTCTGAGTTGAAAAATCGCATCGCTTCCAAAAAAAAAGTATGGAATAATGTATCGTAGGCTTTTTAACTTCAGCCATACACCACAAGTCATAAAGTTAAGGATTATGCTATGTGTACCCCAAGGCTTGTACCCCAATTTGTACCCCGCAGTTTTGCACCAACATTTTGTGTTGGTGTAAAACTAATTTTTGTTAAACGCACCAACATTTGTGTCCGTGTGAATTTTTATTAACGCACCAACACTTGTGTCGGTGTAAACCATCAAAATGTTTGTGCAAACCTGTGGTGTACAAATGGGGTATATTTTTTGGTGTAAGTGTAGCATGGTCCTAAAGTTAAAGGTTCTCTTATAGGTGCTCCATTTTCTTAGTCAAGAAAGATGAAATAAATAAAGGTCCTTTTTGTACATGAAATTAATAGAATTAGAATAGAATTGTGAGTTGAAATTATATTGAATGATTTGGACGGAATTAAATTTTCCAATTCCAATTCATTTTTGAAACTATCAATTCCAGATCCACATATTTTTGTGTTACCAAATAGCAGAATTTGAATTGTTGTCTCCAATTTCAATTCTATAGCTTGAACTTCGTGTACCAAACGGAGCCTGGCACTTCCAAGAGGTCTTTGAATTAGCTGTAATACACATTCGGAAGCTGCTTTCTTAATTTTTGGATACTTTTTTAACGATGTAGATTAATTATGGAAATATTAATTAAAATTAAATATTGTCATTACACAACTTTTTTAAAACGCTAAAAACTTTTGCCAAATGGACATGGAGTGAGAGAAGTTGAAGTTAAACCCAAAGTAACTCGTTTAATTAAATTAAAAATTACTCATAGGGTCCGTTTGATATACGGAATTGATGGAATTGGAATTGAATTGAAATTAAAATTTCATGGGATTCAATTTAGGGCTAGGTCGGGAAAACCGAAAACCGAACCGAAATCGATTGAAACGAGCTAGAAAAAAAACTGAAACCGAATGTAAAAAAACCAAACCGAACCGTTATTGTTTGTGTTAAATATATTCTATATTTAATGTAAATATATTATTTCCTATTATTGTCTCCTACCTTGTATAGGATTAGGAATATATTGTTTCCTATTATTGACTCATACCTTGTATAGGATTAGGAACTCTTATGTATATATAGACATGTACTCCCACATATTTGATCAATGAAATTAACCTTTCTACAGTTTGGTTCCGTTTTGGTTTTTACTTTGAAAAACCGAACCGAACCGAATAAACCGAACTTATTTATATGCTTCATTTTATTTATATGAGTATATGTGATATGTATAAAAATCATATAAACAAAAATGCAAATAAATTACTAGTCAATTAAAGTTTTTTTCTTAACTACTCCGTATTAATTAAACATTTTAACCATATTATAAACTTTACAAAATCTAAGAATATAAACACCAATAACTAATCCTAGTATAGAATTATATAACATTAAAAATTAAAATGAGTAGTTAACATATTTAAATAAAAAAACTTTGATGTTATAATGAAAATGAAAGTATTATATAAAAAATCCAAATTCTCTGCAATTGATTTTATATATGATATCTTTAAGATTATTTAGAATCTTCTAGATGTTTGTTAGGCACTTGACACATATCTTGTATATAAAATTGAACCAATGAGAACACTAACCTTCCGCTCGGCTTTTTTGTGTGTAAAAATCAAGCAAAAAACCAAACCCAAACTTATGTATCGTTATTGCTTCGTCGAGTTAGTATTTATACAATTTTTAATGCTTATAAATATTTACTTTTATAAACCGAAAAAACCGAAAGAAACCAAGATAAAAACCGCATAAAACCGAACCGAATAACCAACGGTTTACATATTTTTTATGCAAAACCGAACCGAACCGCCAACTTACCTTCCGTTTTGTCTTTGGTTTTGGGTAAAAACCGAATTGCCAAAACCGAACCTACCCCAAATTCAATTCCATAGAATTGAATTCATCAATTTTAATTCATTTTTTGCACTACCAATTTTAAATTCACATAATTTTTGTGCTACCAAAACCTCGGAATTGGAATTGAAGTCCTCAATTCAAATTCCATAATTCGAATTCCGTATACCAAACGGGACCATAACAAAATTGTTTTCACAACTAATCACTTTTCCGTGACTACAACAGTTTAATATTTAATCACATACAGTTATTTTTAACATTTTGAAAAGTTATCTAAGGGCAATATAATGTTTAGCTTTAAATTTTTCAAAGCTGACCACTACCATTAAAGAATTATCTAAAATATTAACGTTAATTTAAAAAATTAAAAAAACTTGTTCGAGACAAGCTCATATGAGCTTCGTCCAGAAGTATTTATCCAGTTTTAATTTTTCTTACCGTTAAAATTGATCAACACTAACCATTAATTAAATAAATTAAAATTTATATTAAATATTGATATAAGAACAATATTATTAGATCTGTTTTGTATAATATTTTCAAAAATATTATTATTATATATATAAGTAATCTATAATGTAATTTTTTTAAAGAGTAAATTCTCAAAATGGTCCTTTGTAATAAGGTATTTTCCTAATTCAGTCCTCAATAAGTTTAAATTACCTACATAGTTCTCTATAGTTGAGATTTATTCCCTAGATAATTCTTTGTAAATAATGTTACTTAAATAATCATTAATTGGAAAGTATGTTGGTATTTTATCATCTAAATTTAAAGTATATTCTCGATATGGTCATTTTTGTATAATTAAATGCAAAATTAAAAAATACATTGACTATAAACAATTCATGAATTATTAAAATTTTATAAAAAAATATTTTAAATTTTGAATCAAATACACATGCATGCATCTTTAATTAGAAAAAATGCCTTTAGGAAAGTACTTTATTATAAATGATCATTTTAAGAACTCATTCTAAATTTAGCGGATAAAAAACCAAAATACCCCCAATAAATTATAATTTGAGTAACATTATTTATGAAGGACTAGTTTGAGAATAAATCTCAATTATAGAGGACCACGTAGGTAATTAAAACTTATTGAGAACTGATTTGTCTCCTTCATTTCGATTCGTCTCCTTTCGTCAACCTCCAAACGACATATGTTTCTTTTCAAGAGATTTTTAAGGGATCGATATCTATTTTATGTCGGTTCTACATCATCGATTCGACAAAGATCATGACGATATAAATTAGCGAGTGCTACCGCGAAAATATTAGAACACTATTTTATTCACCAAAGGGAATTGAAGCTTGCTTTTTTTCCATTGCTTTGAGGAAGACCGGAAGGAGGGAGGAAGCTAAGGATACATTTTCTACTTTGCTTTGATTTGCTTTTGCCGAAGGGTGGATGTTTCCCTTGCTTTTTGGAAGACCCGAAGGGGGGAGGAAGTATACTTTTCTTCTTTGTTTGCGGAAGGGTGGATGAAAGATGCCTTTTATTTTTTTTTCTTTCAATTTCTTTCTTCAATTTTTCTAAAAAAAAAAGAAGAAAAAGAACGCTGGACATGCTACGGACGTGTATCAGATAGAGAAGACTTCGAGCGTCTTCGAAGTTAATAAATTGAGACGTGAAGCAGAAGAAAGATCACACACCGGCTCGAACCATGCATTCTCAAAGACGAGAAGGAAATGGCGAAATGAGAGAGGAGAAGAGAATTAGTTGTGATTTGTTTGTTTATTGATTGATTTTTCTAAGGATAATATCTCTATATATGATAAAGATAGAAACCCTAATTCTAGTCCCGGAAGAGCTTATAAGTAAAAAATAAAAAAAAATTTCGGAAGAACTTATAAGTTTGCTCACCTATATATAAAATAGAGACTAATTACATTAAATAATACTCCGTAATAATAATGCTAGAATAATAACTAATAAATATAAATATTTTTAAATAATTACCTACTCTACTATCTATAAGAGAACCCCACTTCTCCAACCTTCCAGATCTCCCATTATCGATTCGAATAGTGGATTAAAAGAAAATAAATTGACTAATAATTTCAATTTAATTTGACAAATAAAGATAAAATCGATCATTCTTTACCGTCATTCGCAATTTGCAAAAATAAAAATAGAAATTACGACATTCGCATATGTTTATAACCGATTGAGCAACGGTCACCAAGCAAAATTTTCAATGGTAGTGCCAGAAAATTCCCATAAAACCTTATCAGAGGCGGACCCCACGGACCTCCACGTAAGATCTTATATATATTAGGTACCTTGATATTTTAAGTATATAAATAAACAAAGCCTTTGAGTAGACAATTCCCTAAATGGTGCAGTGGCAGCGCGGCCTAACACCTAGAGCGGTGGCCCATGGATCGACTCCTATCTCCTTCATGTTCTTTTTATGCTACTCACTTTTATCCTCAGGTGCTCTAAAAAACATTTTTAATGTAAAATATTTTATTGTATTTTTTGAGGTAGAATTTTTTGTATTAATATGTATATCTTCATTAGACTTTTAGTTTAAAGAAATATTAAACAATTATTAAAATTCTTTCAATTTGACCATCAAACTACCCAAGCATGTGCTATTTAAATTTGGTTAGTTTAATTCTTCTATCAGTTGTTTCAAAGTACTCTAAAAAAACATTTTTATGTAAAATATTTTATTGTATTTTTTGAGGTAGTATTTTTTGTATTAATGCGTATATCTTCATTAGACTTTTAGTTTAAAGAAATATTAAACAATTATTAAAATTCTTTCAATTTGACCATCAAACTACCCAAATGCATGTGCTATTTAAATTTGTTTAGTTTAATTCTTCTATCAATGGTTACAAAATTTAGTAGAGTTGGAAAATCAAGTGAGAACCACCAATCTACTAAAACCTCTATCCTCATACTTTAGTACAGTAGTACACAAGAAATACAATGTTGATCTCATTCTCCATTGTTACAAAAAAACCTAAAAAACAAACTTCGAAGTTTTAATTTATTATGAATGTAAAACATTAAAATTTCAAACTTGTACTCTTTGCGGTTATTCACAAAATTGTGGGTATAGAATATATTGATGTACGTAAAGAGTTCACAATTTTTATTGGTCTTTCTACAAGTATTTTTTCCCTAAAAAATACCTAAACAAATCTATTTTTCATTTTATTTGTATTCTTTTTACAATTTACTTCCATTTTAAAAGTGTGACAAAGAAGGATTATAGATATGTCTAAATCTTTTGTTCTAATTGGAGGTTTTTGACAAAAAATCATCATTCTATCCAATTAATAAATTTTATGTTAAAAAAATGTCAGGTGTAGAAGTTATGACTCTAAAAAATCCATTAAAGAATCATATTTTGAATGTTCATTTAAATAGTAGATTTTTTAGTTTATTTTTTATAACGTGTGAATAATAACATAGTATATAAATGTATGTTTACAATTTAAGAAACGGGACCCCATAACATATTTTTACTTCAATAAGATTAAACGAAAAATTAAAAGTTAGCTTAATTAAATAAGGTTCCATTCATTTTTGTAGGGAGTAAATAATGTGAGATGTGGTCAATCCTATTTTTAGATGAGGGCATGCAGCCTAAAATATAATAATTTTTTGTTTTTAAAAAAATTATTACTTTAACACCAAAATTTAGTTGGGGGCATTTGCCCCCAATTGTTTGGGAGTAGATCCGCCCCTGTCCTTTGGTTTGGAAAATCAATATCAAAACCTCATATTCAATGAAAAATAAATAGAAAACTTTCAAAGGGGTTAAGTGAAAAAACCTTTTGAAACAATAGAAACTTATAAATACGTTTTTAAAATAAATAAGATATTCGTACTTATTTTCCACAGGTATATTCAACGTGTTTATAAAATCTATGCTCATTTTATAAATATTAGTATATTAATATCATAAAAGAAATGAATCTCTTGCACAAATAAAAGATTTACTTACCATGAAATTAGCAAAAGAACCACATTTCAAATATAAATGTTTGAAACAAGAAAAAACATTTCTTTTCCAAAACCCAAAGAACACTAATTTGGCAAATGTCACACTTCCAAAAACAAACAGACGTAGTGGAAGTAAATTCCCACAGAACGCGTGGCGTAAAATGATTGGCACGCCCTCGCTATATAAGGCACCCCCGTCATTCGAAGCTATTCGTCCTCATCTTCTGCCGGACTCGCCATTTCTGAGAAGCCAAACCCTGTCCAGAAACCCCTCCATCCATCCATCCCTTATTCCGTTTCTCGTCTCTTCCAAGTAATTTTCTAATTTTTCCTCTTTATTTTTACGAAATCTATTTACAATAACATAGTTTTTTGCGATGATGATGATCGACGATATGCCTTTGTTGTTGAATTTGAATATCAGTTTTGATTCCTCGAGCCTCGAGGTGTTTGAGAGAGGAGGCTTAGACAGAGATCAGGCGCTGTAATCATCGATTTAATCTGTATGTTGCCTTATTTTTGGTTCATTGATTCTTCATATATATATGGGCATGATTAGTTTTACGAAACTTAATTTCATCATCGTCTTTGTTTTACCCATCAATTTCTATATTTCGTGTTTGTATTGCGTAACAGATTGTCTCCATTTAAGTCATCTCAACTTTCATACTTCGTATCTGCTAGAATTCTGTAGATCGTTGGTTTAGTGATAATAGGATGAGAACTTAGGGTTAGATTCTGACATCGTTGAGTGCTTTTGTGTTCGTCTTCAATTCATTTTGCCAGTAGGACTTTTCTTCCCTCATCAATTGCATGAATTAAAACCAGTTTCGTGTTCATGTTGAGCAAAGATTTCCTTTTTTCAGCCTCTTCATGTTGACAAACAATTCCTTTAATCAGGATAATATATGCAAGAAAACTAGCAACACAAAAATGCCCAATGCTCTTTAAAGTAGTTCGGTGTTGCTAATTTTCTCTAATCTTGCCTATATTATGCTGAATAAGGGAATAATTTTTTCCCAACAATTTGAAGCTGGTTCAAGAATTTTCGGAGTTCATTTTCGATGATTCAAGCATTGCAAATTGGACCCTTATGTGTGTTAGATTTGTGGGAGTTCATTTTCAATGGTTCAAGAATTGGAAATTGGACCCTTGTCTTAGAATTGTTAATATTGGATCTAATCTATGTGTGATGATTCAAATATGCAGGTGTAATGATCTGATGGAGTCAAAAGGTGGGAAAAAGAAGTCTAGCAGTAGTCGGTCCTCGTTCTACGAAGCGCCTCTTGGTTACACAGTTGAAGACGTTCGACCAAACGGAGGAATCAAGAAATTCAGATCTGCTGCTTACTCCAACGTGAGTTTGTTTAAAAAATGTGTCTTTATGTTTCATGGAGTTACAAATCTTCCGTGTTTATTTTGTAGATCATACATATATCATCCTTATTTATGTCTCTTTGCTTATCTGCAGTGCGCCCGCAAGCCATCCTGAGATTTCCCGTGCTTCCTAATAATAACCACCAATAGTGGTGGACTTGTAGTGTAGTTATAATATACTATCTCATCTCTCGCTCTTTTCTTCTTCACCTCGTCCTCGTTGATCTCTCCTCTTTAGCATCACAACCCATTTCTTTAGAAACAGCAATTGGATATTAGTTAAGTCAAGATGGCTGTGACAGCATCTGCAATTGGATTTGAAGGCTATGAAAAGAGGCTTGAGATTTCATTTTATGAGTCTGGGGTGTTTGCTGACCCTGGAGGCCGTGGCTTGAGAGCTCTTTCCAGGGAGCATTTGGATGAAGTTCTTAAGCCTGCCCAGTGTACTATTGTCTCATCATTAGCAAATAACAAAGTCGATTCATATGTTCTTTCTGAATCTAGCCTCTTTGTTTACCCATACAAGATTATCATCAAAACATGTGGCACTACAAAGCTCTTGCTCTCTATTCCACCTATCCTTGCTTTGGCCAATGGGCTCGGCCTCGAAGTGAAATCTGTAAAATACTCTCGTGGGAGTTTCATCTTTCCCGAAGTTCAGCCATACCCACATCGTTGTTTCTCTGAAGAAGTGGCCATTCTTGATGGTTATTTTGGTAAACTTGGGTCGGGAAGCAAAGCATATGTGATGGGTGATTCTGGAACTAAAAAGAAATGGCATGTTTACTCTGCCTCTGCAGAATCTGCGGTGAACGAGCCATTACCTGTCTATACCCTGGAGATGTGCATGACTGGATTGGACAAGAAGAGCTCATCTGTGTTTTTCAAGACACAATCAAACTCTGCTGCCCAGATGACTGAATCTTCAGGAATCAGGAAGATTCTCCCTGGTTCAGATATATGCGACTTTGATTTCGACCCGTGTGGGTACTCTATGAATGCTGTCGAGGGAGGGGCAATTTCGACAATTCATGTCACTCCGGAGGATGGATTCAGCTATGCAAGTTTCGAAGCAATGGGCTACGATTTCAAAAGCGTCAACTTGGATGCCCTTATTGAGAGGGTGTTGGCCTGCTTCCAACCTGCTGAATTTTCTGTTGCCCTGCATAGTGATGCTCTTGGAGAGGAACTCAATTCTGTTTTCCACCTTAATGTGAATGGGTATGTCTGTGGTGAAACGAGCTTTGAAGTGCTTGGCAATGGAGGATCAATAATGTACTGTGGTTTGAATAGCGTCGGCTCTGGCAGATGCGGATCCCCAAGGTCAACACTTCTCTGTTGTTGGAGTGAAAACGAGGACGAGGAAGGAGAGAAGAAACCCTTCTAATAATAAAAAGTTCCTTTTAGTCTTTCTTTCTTATTACTATAAACGTATTGTGTTAAGTGTGGTTTTTATATTTGCCTTATGTGTTGTTTGTGTGTTTGTTCTATGTTGTGATGTAATAAAATGGAGTAAATGATTTACTCCAAACTCATGTTAAAAGTTATACATTATCGTTTGCTTGTGCCATTTTTCTTGTTTCAAGCATTTGCGTTGTTACTCAAATTATACATTATTTGTTTTCGTGTGTGCGTGTTACGGTTGGTGCAAATATACGGAGTATATTGTCATTAGGTCTAATAAAGAGGGTGAAGAGAGTGGGTTAGGTTTGATTAGGTCTGTCTATGGGGTAACTTGTTGCAATTGGTTCGGAGTACATGTGTTTGATGCTTGGCCAAATTGTTAAACTAATCTCCCATCCTAGAGTTGACAAATTGGTCGATCAGGTCGCATTTGTGTTCGGTCACTTCATATTCAAGTTATTTCAAATTTGGATTGAGAATTGTATGTTAATGACCTAATATCATCGTGTTCGGGTTAACTCAATAAGTTATGACTTTAGTTTTTTAAAATTTAAAATTAATATTAACACTTGCATTTTGAATTTTATTTTAAATTACGAAAAAAGTTTTAGGTATATAAATCAAAATTAAAAAATTTAAAAAATGCATAGTTTTTTAAAAAAGTAAAATAATTATGCAATATTATTAAAATTTTGTTTGAAAAATATAAATTTGTACACTAAAAATGAGTAGTAAAAAAATACACCATTATAACCTAATTTTTACAACATAATATTTTCTAGAAAAATATAATTTTGAAATTTTTTTTCATAAGCCGGTAGGTCATGTCAGATTCTGGTTTGGTCGAGTTTGACCCATTTTTAACGGGGCATTTCAGGTTCGGTCGGGTTTGACCCATTTTTAACGAGTCATTGGGTCAGTTAGCTTCGGGTTCAGCCAATCAAACCTTTGTTTAAAACCTAATTTTTCAGATCAGATTTCGGATAAAAAATAAATCTGATCATTTTTTGCCAGATCTATTCAAACTCACTTCTTTTAGGCTGTATTCTCTTCATTTGATTGGTTCATATATAATATTTTCATACTTGATTGTAGTATAGTTAATAGTTACGGAGTATTATTGATCTGATCATTTTTTTAATATGATTTTAATACGAATCAGTAATAAGTAGAAAAAATAGATCGAAGAAAACGAAGAGTTAATATAGTATGTGTTTATAATACGGTTAACAATGTGATACTTTTACTATTTATAAGTGGCCAAGTGAATGTCATAAAAAATTTATATATCATAGATTCATAACTACTCGTATTTCTTTAAAAAATTCTAATTAATTATATTAAATTAACAATACATTTAAACACAAATTTTGAAAAACATTGTGGTAAGAATTTATAAAGTTTGACTATGAAAATTCAAATGTAAAGATTTGTCCGGAAGAAAGGACTAATTGTACTGTGCATTTCACTATTTTCCTTGAGTTTTACATTTTAGAAGCCGAGTATATACTTCGGACAAATCAAAAATTAACTACTTTTTAAAATTTAAAATTATGACATCCAGTCAGTTAATAATAATAATAATAATAATTAAAAAAATATTCCTACAACGTATTTAATTATTTTGTAGTTCCTTATTTTTCTTGAGTTTGGAAAATCTCTGAAAACCCTAGTCTTAAATATTAAAACAAAATCTTCCTTCATAGAATCAAACCTTTTCATCTTGAAAAATTCAAAAAAAAAAAAAAAAAGAAAATATGGAATTGTGCAAATTAACTTTGGGTTTCAATAGGCTTCATCCCACACCGGCAAATAAGGCTCAGATCATCTCCTTCATATACTCAAGAGTCACAGTGAAGATCGTCCCTTCGGGGACATCCGATAAATCTGCAGGTTTTGGATATTTGATTCCATTAAGACATGCTGATCTACTGGGTTTCGTTGAATTGCTAACCCTAGAACATCGAGGATTCATCCATTCAGTGTTAATGCTTTCAATTCTGCCCTGTTTGGATTCTGAATTTAATATGTTGATGATTCCTTGCTATTATTGCGGATTAATCACCTAATTGCTTAGTTTATGATTCATCCATACAATAATAAACTTATATTGCAGAGTTTTTACATAAAATAACTGTCTTCTTCTATTATATTATTACATCATTTCTATATAAAAAACATAATCTTACTTCCATGTCAATAGGTCTGAGAATGAAATGGGAGGATTACGGGTTACGCCCATTCTTTTCTTTTCTTCATTGTAAAAGGCACACCAGGGAATCCATTGACGGTTAATGCTTTCAATTCTGCTCTCTTTCTTTTTTTGTGGTTTCTGAATTTGATCTGCTGGCATTGACTTTGATCTAGGGGTTTAATTTTCAGAGATTTTCCAATTTATTTTCAACTACTTTCAAGAATGTAAGTCACACTCTGTATATCTTGAAAAATTGAAATGGGTGAAAGCAGTATTACTTGTTAATTAAAATTGGCACCAATGTTTAGGGCTGGCCATCCTGATTTTTTCCTTTTAAAAACATAATCAGTGGATACTCTGCATTTCGGTTACTTTTATCTTTATATGCTAATTTTAAGTTAATCCAGCAGTTTTTTAACTTTTTATTGCACTGCAACTCTCTACAAATACTAAAAACCAAATTGTGGGAAAAGTGGAACACGGATTAATTAATTAATTAGAAAATAGGGAGGGTTATAAATAAATTAAAATTTGAATAGGATTGGACACTCCCACAAACTATGACGTACGCTTCACCACTTGGATAGACATTCTGCTCTCTCGCACATTTTTTTCTTTCCCTTTCCAACGCTAAGCTTAAATCTAGCTAGTGCTGTATGCATGAGTGCCTCTGGAATTTATTCCTCTTCCCAGGACTTATTATATTGGTCATATTTTTATTACTACTAGCGAGTAACCAATCCTTCACAAACCCTGAACAAAGATTGCAGCAGCTCTGTTTCTCCTCTACACCACCTGTTCTCAACCACGTTCTAGAACTCAACAAACTGTATTGAAAATAATTACGTGATTCATTTTGATTCAATTCTCTGATAAATTATATTAAAAATAATTTCAATCAAACATGACAAACTAATACTGATAATTTTAATTAATACATACTCTCTCTGTCCCATTTTAAACTTGCCTGTTTGTCTTTTTTTCTCCGTCCAAAAATAAGTTTTCTGTTAGTTGTTTTCATATACTTTTAAAAATAAAATACCTAAACTACCCCTAAAATAAGTCACTCTTCTTCCCTTTATCTTCTCATTCACCATCATCCCTCTTAGAAAGTAATGGCAATTTCAGACAATCAACTTTATATTTTATTTTATTTAAATATGCTCAAAAGTCAAAATTGACGATTTAAACTGGGACGGAGAGAGGAAGAAATAATGTCATAAAATCACCAACTTTCAAGATAATTTACGTGATTTTTTTTTTAATATGAAGGTTTTGTCACAAATGAAAAGAAGAAAACAAAACAGAGTAGAAAATTAGGAAAAAATTTCACACCAAAACATTAATAATTTATTGTTCATATCACGCATCAAGTAAGTGGCATATCGGAAGTCAAAAAAAGCCACAAAAACAACACCGCATGCTGGCATCCTACTAGGGATTGCAGTTTGATATACATAAAATCATCACAAAAAACAAGAGGATATTCATATTCATATTCGTGTATCATGCTTCCACTTCAAAGGCAACGCCGAGATAAGAACCCTCAGGACAGATGCACTCTCTTTGATAATAAATCTGTATCTCAGGTTGCTTCTTCATCACTCCATCATCATCTTCATCATCAACTCCTTCATATCCCCCAACCGTAAAACAAGTCAAACGGATCCCGTAATGACGTTCTGATGGATTAAGCCTACGCATATGTTTGACTTGTTCCAACTTATCGCCAACAACATCTTCTGCCATCATATAGACGAGATTGTCCATCCAAAAAAGTCCCAACTTGTTCCCACCCTCCAAAGAACACAGCCTAGGGTCATACCTATCGTTATCTGATGAAGGAAGCAACCCAGCCTCAGCCATGTCAATCACACAACACTTGCCCTTTCCCATATCCCACATCACCAGTTTGGTGCCGATATAACTATCCACCCAAAACATCCTTCCCTCACAAACTACTCCAGTAGCTCTTGGGCTAAAGGTGTAACACTTTTGAAGGATAGTTTTCATAACTTTACTAGTCATAACAAAACCAGTAGCCTCTTCTAATCCCATCCATTCAAAGCCCCGCACAGCTTTCTTACTCGTCTTTCTTCTCTTCCTCCTCCCATCATCACAACAAATAACACTACAAGAATCATCATCATCATCAAATATAACACGCAATGCTATAAATATACCCAACTTCATCAGACCAATGATGATGGTATCTTTCTCCTCAATGGCTCCACAGACAACGTATTTCGTCAAATAAGGTTCTTTTACCCATTTTCCTCCATCAATCTCAACTGGATTGCTACTCACACCAATCCACCTGTTCTCATCCACGTCGTAGTACTCAACAAACGGGTGGGACGCAAAATAGTTTGGGTTCACTTGCCCACCTACTACAAATACTGTCCCTTTAAGGGCCACTACAGCACCGCATCTAGCACGTTCAGCACACATGTTGCTGGGTATGGAACTAAACTGACTGTCCCCACATTCATCACCACTCAGAGAAGGCTTCCAGCGTACACCAAAATCAGGAATGCAGCTAGGGAGGCCTTTCTTTATATGGTCAGGTATCTCCACATAGCCACCAAAACAATAGAAATCGGAGCCAGAACAAACCATGAAAGCGCGCTCCTGGCAGTGATGGTAAGACGCCACTGGTTTTGCAGCCACTGCTTTGTTGAATTTAAAGACTTTCAATGTATTCCCCTTCTCCTGTGCTGCTGGTAGCGTACTCAAATCCATTACGCCATTGCCAGAGAATGCATACAAGTCTAGAATTGCTCCAAACTCCTTTTCCGGCATATCTTCATAAGGTCTAGTATTCAACATTGCAAAATACACCCTCCTTCCACTACAAGACTTTGCTTTCCTGTCTCTGCATGTGTTGTAAATATCACCCAAAGCAAAACAAAAAATTACAAAGTGGATCAATCATCATCATAGTCATCATCTATCATTACCATTGTTATTACTATTATTATTACTATTATTTCAAACTCTAAAAAATGAATCTCATTCCACTATAACTATATCCTGCTTCCCAGAAACAAACTTAAATTTATAGTAGAGAACAAATAGAGCCTTGCACAATAGACCTATTTCAAGCTTCTACCTCTTTCTTACTTGGTTATCACTGACATATGTAGTGTTTAAGGAAAAAAAATGCAAATAATAGACATCTTTGTCAGAATCATATAAGTAGACTGTAGATATCACCCACATAGCACACATCATTAATTAAAAACTCCGTAACATGCAAAAAGTTGTGATTTTTACTCGTTGTGTCTTTAAGAAAAACTTCAAAAGCAGATAGCGATTCAAATTTCACATGAAAATGTTTCCAAAAGCATATTGGTTTGGGAAAAAGAGAAGTCCAAGAAACGTTATGGTTGTCTGTTCGGATCTGAATGTTAAAACAAAACCTTAATATGTTTAAGAGTGTTCGGTTCAAAATAGGACATGGATTGTGGAAGATTTGCTTTTAAACAGAGGGGAGAGATCCAGATAGAAGCTTACGTCGGACTCCTGGGAACGATGAGATCAGCGGATTCTGCGTCCTTCTCGGGCGGCGGCAGCGCCGCTTGGTGATTTGCCATTGAAATTGCAGCTTTGAGGTTTGGGATTGAAGGGACGGGTTCATCCTTTCTTGTTCTTTAAATAGGCACGCCTAGCAATCGGATCAACCGGATCAATTTCGGGTTGCTCGGTTTTCGGTTATATGTCTTAATCGATTCGGTTTGGATATAAATTATTTTCCAATTCAAATTTAACTATCCATATTTCTTTTTATGTTACCAATTCAATGTCTTATATTATTTTATATATTTTTCTAATTATATTATCCCTAACCTAAATAATCTTTCCTTTTTGACTTTTTAGTCATAGTTTACAAATTTGGACTATAAATTGTGAAGCATATATATTTTATTATGATATAAATTTAATACTCCCTCCGTCCCATAAAGTGTTACCCATTTTGACTAAAGTTGAAATTAAAGGAGTAATAATTTTGTGTTGACTTTCCAAAAAATACCCTTGATGTGATGGGTAAAAGTAGGATGTGATGTGTTGATTATTAGGAAAAAGGTATGATGTGATAGGTAGGGTTTAAAAAGTAAGGGGAAAAAGTTGTAATATTCGAAAATGATAACACAAAATGCTATCGCTAGAGAGCCTTTTCAAAATGCTAACACTAGCATCTAATTTTATTGACTAGTATTAAGTGAATTAGTTTGAAACTAATCAAATTAACCCTCAAATCAATAAAATTTATTATAATAGGATGAAATAAGGATAAAATTCAGTTATTCCGTATAATTCATCATATAATCCTTTTGTCTCAAAAAGAATATCTCACTTCACTATTTAATTTCAGTTATCATTTATATGTATAACTTATCTTTAATTTCTACATATAATAAATTTAAGGCATGAACTTTTGTACTTTTTTTCAAGAATATAATTCATTTTATGAGGGAATGAGCAAGTAATATATAATTTGTTCAAATGATAAATTAAAAGTAAATATTTAAAAATATAATATGCTTATTGAAAGGAGAACAGAGCTCTAAATTTATCGATGTTGATTTATCGTATAGAACGGGCAAAAATAACAACTAAAAAGAATTCCTTGTAAGTAGGGTGTCAAATTTCAGGGAGACACGAGTTAATTTAATGTAAACAAAAGTTTATAAAAGAAGTTGTTAAATATTTTGGTCTTTTTGGTTTTAGAGATTAAATAAAAAGTGTAAAAGTTGTAAAGTATTTTGGTCTTTTGGGTTTTAGAGACAAAATAAAAAGTGTAAAAGTAGAGTGTTCCAAACAATACAAAGTTTTTAATGATGAAAAGTGAGGGATAGAAATTGGTAAATTAATTGTCCAATGTTTTTATAAAAGTTGGATTGTAAATTTATTTTTATATAGAATGTGTGGGGTTGCATAAAATATTTAGGGAAGCTCTCACAGTTCACCTAAATAATAACTACTCCAACTTTAATACGCTAATGATAAATCCGGAGTAATTATTTAGTAACAACGGCAACCACAATTATTTTATTGTATGTTTACCCACAGTTCACCTCTAAATTTTTGTTGCTCTTGATTAATTTACCAATTTCCTTAGAGAGAATGGGAACATACGGAGTCTGATTGCATCAGTTGGCACACCATTGATTTTGAACGTATTGCACGCTCGGAGGAATTTAGTGATAAGGTTGTGTGGCTCCTTGGTTGGTCATCCACCAAACTGATCAGATGAGACCATATCGATGACAGCAGGTTTGATTTCAAAGTTGTTTGCTGTGACATCCGGCGGAATAATGCTGTTGTGTTCGGCCACAGGAGGAGTGACATAGTCAGAAAGAGTTCTCCTGTTCGGAACTTCATTTTGTTTCCCAGGCTTTTACCATGGCAGCATCAGGCAGTGTCAGTATCGCCAAAAGAATATATTATTCCAATTTGGGCAAATGAATTATAGCAAAATCCCGAATATCTTGCTCTTTGAGGAAGTGGTTGATTATGTATCGCTGGAAACTGATCTTAATCGATCTATCTGTCGAACAAGAAATGAGCTTCTGTCAGTCCTCCTCGGACGGATTGGTTTTCAACACCACCACATTCCTCCTCGAATCTTATAGCTTGTGACTATCCTTGATTCACCCTTCACGCTTTACAACAATTCCTAGACTTATGTCGTAAAGCTTAACCATGTAACAAGGAGAACTGAAACCCTAGTAAAAATACCGCAAACGGCGAAGGACAAGATTGCCCTGCGCCGCTCAATCTCTAAGTACGCAGAGTAAGTTCCCAACACCTTCGAACGGCAAGGGACAAAATCGCCCTGCGCCCTTTAAGGTCACAGTAGCTTATGGTGCGTTCCCAACACCTTCGAACGGCGAAGAACATAATTTCCCTGCGCCGTTTTGGCTCTCAGTTCCTAACCCCTTCGAACGGCGAAGGGCACAAATTTCCTGCGCCTTCTAGGCTCTAAGTGCTTTCACCATGTACCCAACACCTTTGAACGGCTGCACTGCACCGTCTGACGGATTCTACGTGGTGATTTCCCTTGTTTGCACTTTTGGTGGCTTCATTAGAATTTCTTTTCATCTTTGCACAATTATACGTTTAGTAGGCATTGTTATTCGTTTCAAGTCACAAACCTAATGTTCTATGAAGTAATAAAACAAGCGTGGCATGCATAATCTCCGTGAATGAACAAATACAGCATAGCAGTGGACTTTCGTTTTTCTCAAGAATAGGTCAGTCAGAATACATCATGCCTTTGACAATTTGTTGATGCCATGTGCTGTGTAGGTTTTGGTATTGACAAATTACTGTGTATAACAAATCAGTGTTGAACAAATTGAAGGCGTGTCAAAAGATCATTTGAAGTATACGTTGATTCAAAAGCAAGACTGAAGATGTTTCGAGTCGTAGACTTGGTAGTTTTTTGTATTACAAGTTCATTAGCATTCATTAAAGTGTTGGCTCATGAGGGGGAATTTGGAACCTTACGGTAATAGACCATCCATCCAAACGACGAAGGACAAGATTGTCCTGCGCCACAGCAAGTTCTCAACACTTTCAAACCGCAATGGACACAATCGCCACGCACCATTAAAAATCTCAGTGCCTTCAAAACCGTTGGACGGCAAAGGGCCCAATTTCCTTTTGTGCTTTAGGCTCTGAGTGTATTTCAGTGCGTACCCAACACCTCTGAACGGTGAATGTCCCAACTGCACTGTGCCGTCCGACGGCTTCTACATTGTGATTTTCATTGTTTGCACTTTTGGTGGCTTCGTTTGAATTTCTTTTTCTTTGTCGGATGTTCCAAATTTGTTATCTTTGCACAATTATACATTTATAACCATTGTTATTCATTCCAAGTCCCAACTATTATGTGCTATGAAGAAAATAAAAGAAGCATAAATGTGCATAAAGATATTACACCCACAATCTCCCCTTTAGTTGACAAGTGGTTTAATAAGATTTTTAGAAGTAGACAGGTAATAAACAATACACATGTTTGTTGAGAGTGCTCAAGCCAATTATGCAGCAGTCAAATAGGACATCAACGTATGAGTTTAATTTGAAGTACACTACAGACACACAATAGACGCTCAGAGCATAGACACTCAAAATATAGAAGACTGATGAAGATCCTTAGTACGCAAGCTCTCTCCTGCATCAAGCATAGATTTTCATGTTAAATTTAAAATTGTCATTCTGTATAATTTTAAGACAGAAATATTAAGATACTCACAAGTGAATCAATGTTGTTGGCCATAGAATATACGGATGCGCCTCGAATATTGTGATTATGTTCCTAATAATTATATTATAAAATTTTTTTATTAAATTATTAAATAAAATGAATAAAATATAAGTTTATAATATTCATTTACCTGTCCAGAGGATTCACCCTATTAGAAAAACCGTAGACACGGGCAATCTCATCAAACAATTCCGCAACAAAGCATGGAATCAACCTTAACATTTCTTGATGAATATCAGAAGCAGTCATTGGCCAATAATTAGAGCTTTCCTGCACATGCCTCTTGCAATTGAAGTAAAAGTGCAATGCCGAATGACCAAAGGTATAATATGGTTGGAAGTCACCAATTGCATCAAAAAGAAGAGGATAGAAAGGCGAGTCTTTTTCTACATTCTCCAAAGTAATATAACCATTTAGCTTCTTCAATTTAATATCGCTCTTAAAATCTGTTTGATTTGCTTTATATACATGCCACATCTTATCCAAAAATACCAGCTCCTCTGTCATGTCATATATAATGACATTCTTCGTAATGAAGTACACGTACATGCTGAATGAAAAAGAACAATATAATAAGTCATTAAACATATAATTTTGGAAGAAATGGTGGATGCATTAAACTCTTGAATTGACTATTAGAAAACACTTACCGGAGCTTCTCAAAACCTTCCTCCTTAAGGGCCGCATTGCACATCTTTAGAAAGTTCTTCACAATGTTTATGTGATTTGCAGGTTGGTGTGGATGTGCTGGTGGTGGCTCCGAAGCAACCACCAAGTCAACTATATCTCTTAGGGATCTAATGTCACATTTCATACCCTCAATCACATCTACTGTCTTATCCCCCCTCCGGCCATCACTCGCCACAAAAGAACCCCAAGTATTCACCTCCGTGTCAAGCAACAACGACCCATGTGAGCTATTTTCTTCAAAACCAATCCAGAAAATTTTTCTAAACATTGGCCTACAATTTAGAGAAAAAGAAGAAGCGCATCATAATTTTCGAACGAAACATGTGAAATGTAACTAGACTCTTTTGTCAATATTAGTTAGTGACTAGTGGAGACATGTGACATTAATGTGACCTGAAAATGGCCACACAAAAAGTAAACTATTAACGTGTCTATTCAACTACTTTAAAACACATTGTTTTTTGTTTTCAATAATAGTAAAGATAGGGAACATATACTCCGTATGTGTTAAAAAAATACAAAATCTTACTTTTTCAAAATTGTAGAAGCTCATATCTAAGGTTGATTGTGTTATTCCCCATCTAGAAAAAAGTTATCATAACCAAAAGTGTTCGAAGTTATTTCGTTTTCTTCTACCGGATACTTCCTAAAACATATAATGAAACATACAATGATTTCTTATAAAAATATGAAACAAATTACCTCATGACCTGTCGGAAAGTTTCTGACATTTGTACAGCACGCTCTTCATCGTCATGTAGCATCCATATGGATGGACGAGACGGACTTACGACCCATTGCTTCAAAGTCTAGAGCGTGAAATGATTAGAGAAAAGTAAACAAATTTTGAAAGAAAAGAAAGAGGAAAAAAAGTTAGTTCACCTCAGACAGTCCTGCTAGCCTATAGGGTGGAAGAGGTTGTATAGTGCGTGCATTTGAATTACCTCGCACCATTATATTATTATGCCCCCTAACAAGGAAAACCAGTTCTGATTATTCATGCTTGAAATTCTCATATCATAATCAACTAACTAAAACTGGTAAAAAATGTCAGAATACAGGAAGTGAAATAAGCTAAAGCACATAACAATCATGATGTGCTTCCGAACAAGAAATTGAAATGGTAAACAATTGAGGAGAGGTAGCACAATCCAACAAAGAAGTACGATGTTGAAAAGACTACCTCTCGAAGAGTAGGCAGAAACATCTAGGTGGAACTGGAAATAACGTAATATGTCCTAATTATCATCCCACGAAATGGGATTTAGACAAATGCTCAAATGCAAATCATAATCATTACAAGGACCTTACAAATTATATTCTTGTTATACGTTAGCACGTTACAATGTTTGATAGAAATGATTTTCAATTCAGTTTATTTAAAAAGTAGTGTGGAATTACTTTAAACAATAATAATTGCGTACTTAAAAATTATATTTAAAAAAAACTACGAAACAAGCTAAGAAATGACATTTCTATATTATTTTATAGAATAACTGGATAAGTGACGAAAATAGACAATAAAAAAGTACAATAGGTAACGTCTGTGAATATATGAATGAGAAGATATTTGTAAACGAATGGAGTAAAACATTAAGATCAATCATATTAGTATTCTTAGAGTTTATTTGTCAACTCATGTAACACTATCTTAATTATTTAATGTAATAATACTATACGTATGAAGATGGGAATAGAATGTAATAAAAGTTTAAAACACCTCCCAAGGTCTTAACTTGGGAGATAAAATGATATGGGAGAGAGAACACATTGCTCAACCACTATATTCCTTGTAATTTGAGAAATCCAACAAGGGAATCTACTAGTGTCAATCTCACATAGAATGTATTCTTTTCCATCCAAATACAAAGTTCACATCTACCAATATGTGGCTAAAGTTCCGAGCAGAGATTGTGGGAGGGGTTGTCAAAATAGAGTTTCTACAAAGAAGAATAAGGGTGGTTCAAATTAGTTCAAATAGAAAGGGAAAGTCATTGTGACCCTTGATGAGATACATGCGTACTCATACTGTCATTTTCTTTTGATGTTGATTTATTAAGACCATTGTTATAGCTCTTTTGTGGTTTTCTACCTTTAATTTTCTCGCAGTCTATTAATGGATGGATCTTCCAATTACATCTTTTGCATTTCCTTCTTGTCCTTTCATCACTTGTCTACTTCTTTGTTCCAACCATTTATGTCTTAACAGGAGAGACCTTATCATTCATAGTTCATTAAATAATCCAAATGGAAGGTGTACTATCATTTAAAATTCTTAATGCTCCTTAGTCCATCTCCTATTGTCGTGCAGTTTGTGTTTGCACAAAAAAGAAGTCCGAGTCATGAGATTGCGATACAAGAAAAGGCTTTATGGAAGGTGTACTATCATTTAAAATTCTTAATGCTCCTTAGTCCATCTCCTATTGTCGTGCAGTTTGTGTTTGCACAAAAAAGAAGTCCGTGTCATGAGATTGCGATACAAGAAAAGGCTTTAACATGGTGAGTTGAGATTTCTTAAATGAATTCTTCAAAGCTATCAGTCCCCAAAAACTTTTTCAAGTTTCAGAGATTTAGGCATGGGAAGCTCATTGAAAAGAGAAGAAAGATAGAATGAAGAAGTAAGCCGTAACAATGATCATTCCTTATTTCAGTGTTCCTTCTGTTCCTTATTGATTTTCCCCATCCACACTCTACTTTTTGCATTGTTAAGTTTTCAACCACTTGTTTGCTCATGATTTAGAAACAAAAGTTTGTTCTAAGTTCGTCGATTTTGATTTTGCTTAGTAAATCATTGTTCACTTTTATCTAGGGTATTTTCCTTTCAATTTCTTTTCCTAATGGCTTTCTGTTTTTTACTGCATATCATTTGAATAAATCTTTCAAGATTTATCAAGTTAGTGGACTTGTAGATAGGAATTTCTTTTACCTTTCCATGATATGTCTTTTATTTTATACATAATCTGTTACATGCTTCTCTGGCTTCGCATTTTCTTCAATTGTAAATTCTATGCTGATAATATAATGAAACTCTTTCATTAAAGTCACTGATGGCCAGATGAACTTTTTTCTGTAACATGCTCTCTTCTTTTGCATAAAAATCTATTGAGATGATGGAACTAAGGTTAGATTTATACTTTATATAGCTTATACCTGCAAGAAATGAGTGTCTTTGCTTGCTTTGAAGTTGATATCACATTTACTTTTCATTTTATACAAATACCAAATATTGTTTTCCCCTTCCTTTTCTAAAAGAACAATCTCAGTTTACTCTGGACCTTAATAATGTATTAAAACGATGAAGAATCTAACATACTACGTCTGTATTACTACTCCCTATCTCGCATAAAAAGATGTTTGTAAAGGTACCACTTTTTTAAAAAAAGAAGCTTCTTTTTAATATGCATGAATGGAGTTACATTCATTATGAAGCATGAAAAATTTATTGGAGTAGATTTATTATTCTGTTAATATGTATTATTATTGGTTCATGGGCCGTGTATTTGGGCCTGAGATACTCTTGAATATATACTAGGTTTATAAATTAATCTTATTCAGGTTCAAATTTATTCATGGTATCGGAGTGTTTATGGGAGAAACCTAGGTTTGTAGTTGCCGGCCTGCACGTCACGCAGTGATAGCGTCAATGCAGGAGGATACTCGTAGAAAGAAAGAGATCCTCGAGGATGAGCTATGGCGATCAACACAGTTGATCGCAAGCAGATTAGAGAGAGAGAGAGAACGAAAGAGACAGGAAAGAGGAATTGTATTATTCATCATGATTATTACAGAGGATATTAGGGTATTTAAAGGGGGTTACACAACATCAACTCGTAACTAACTTGTAACAAATCCCCAACCGCCATGATACACGTGGAAACTGTATCATTCCTTCCCCCATAAAGTCTCTTGGGAGTAGGGGACTTTGGGTTTGTATGTGTTGGTCGATTCATGACTTTTTAAGTCCTTTGAGAACGAGTTTCAGAGATCGTAAAGAGGTTCTTCGTAGAAGGTGTGAGACGGGAAGGGTAACTTGGTTTATGACTTGTCGTCGGAATAAAGGAACGAACTGATAGGTCCTTTCCAGTACAGCAACTGGTTTAATAGGGATAGCCACATCCCTTCCTTGTAACCCTTCTGGAATGTGTGGCTTGTTAGGCAAAACTCCCCTGGATTCTTTGAGCTGGGATACGTGATAGGTATGATGAATTTGAGCTTCTGGAGGTAACAGCAATCTGTAGGCCACTTGTCCCACCTTAGCTTGTATCTGGAAGGGGCCATAAAACTTAGGAGCCAACTTCTGATTGGGCCTAGATTGCAAAGTCTGTTGTCTGTATGGCTGTAACTTCAACCATACCCAGTCCCCCACCTTCATTTGCCTTTCAGACCTATGTTTATCTGCTTGCATCTTCATTCTATGCTGAGCCTTCAATAAGTGGAATTTTAAGACCTGAATCATAGCTTCTCTTCTTTGCAGGGATCTATCAACAGCCTCCACTTTAGTCTCCCCAGGTAGATATGGAAGATGAATAGGAGGTGGTTGACTGTAAACTACCTCATAAGGTGTCATCTGTATAGAAGTGTGAAAAGAGGTGTTGTACCACCACTCTGCTAAGGCAATCCAATTACTCCATTCCTTTGGTTGATCACTACACAGACACCTTAGGTAGGCCTCAAGACATCTGTTCACCACTTCTGTTTGGCCATCAGTTTGTGGGTGGTAAGAAGTTGACAGTAACAGATCAGTGCCATGGATAGTCATCAATGCTCTCCAAAAGTCGCTTAGGAATATTTTGTCCCTATCACTTACAATAGTTTGAGGCCATCCATGAAGCTTGAACACATTATCCAGGTAAGTTTGTGCCACTTCTATAGCTGAAAATGGATGTTTCAGCGTCATGAAGTGTGCATATTTGCTAAACCTGTCAACTACCACCATTATAACTTCCTTTCCACCAGATTTGGGTAAACCTTCTATGAAATCCATAGAAATGTCCTTCCATGCTTCATCGGGGATCTGCAAGGGTTGTAAAAGACCCGGATAAGGGCTGTTGTCATACTTACAGCTTTGGCACACTACACACTGCTGAATATGATTCTGTACCTCCCTGGTCATGCCTTTCCAAACAAACAGGTTTTTTAATTTCTTCAGTGTTGCATCTCGGCCTGAATGTCCCCCCATTGGTGAATTATGTACCCATGTGAGGATTTGACCCCTTAGGTTAGCATTTGGTCCAACCACAAGTCTCCCCTTTTTCCTCAACAGGTTTCCATGTAAACTGTATTTTGGTACTGCCTCACCATGCAGTAGCTTTGCTATGGTTTCCCTCAAGTTATTATCCAACTGGTAACTTTCTTCAATGGTTTTTAAAACGTCAGATTGCACCCCAGAGATTGCTAAAGCCAATAATTCCGATCCCTTAACCCTAGATAAAGCATCTGCCACCACATTTTCCTTCCCTTTCCTGTAGTGTATCTCATATTGGAACCCCATCAATTTGGATAACCAAAACTGTTGAAAGGGAGTGGAAATTTTCTGCTCCATAAGCCATTTCAAACTTTTTTGGTCAGTAATAATCACAAAGGTGTTACTACTTAAGTACTGTTCCCACCTTTGCACTGCATGTACCACAGCAAGTAACTCCTTCTCATATACTGACAATTGTTGCCACTTAGTCCCAATGTTTTGCTTAGAAAAGCTAAAGGATGATTTTCTTGCATTAAGACAGCTCCAATTCCATAAGGAGGCATCGGTTTCCACAACAAATGTCTTTGCAAAATTAGGAAAACCTAGAACTGGGGCGGTGGTGAGGGCAGTTTTCAATTCTTCTACAGCTTGTGTAGCTTCAATGCTCCAATTGAAGTGACCCTTTTTTAATAATTGTGTTAAGGGTTTGGCAATCAGTGCATAATTCCTTATAAACTTCCTGTAGTAGCCTGCCAATCCCAAGAAGCTCCTCAATTCCTTGATGT